ATCATCCCCTGCGGAGTAATTGCGATGTTGGGTGGAGATACTGCGACCCCCGACTCGATGACAGAGGGAGCACCAGAAAATCCCTCTCTTCCCATTGCTCATAGCCATTTTAAGTACATTCAAACGACGATAATCATGAATCCAAGCAAACATCATAAGAACCCTAGTAGTTCAAAAGTATTGAATTTTTTCTTTTCTTAGTTCTTTTACAAAATCTCAATAGAAAATCATTAAAATAATGTATTTATTTGTTATGCTCAGTCCGGATTCGATCAGTCCGGATCTTAATTTGCACAAAATGACTATGAAAAATTAAAAATATTTGGTATTAGAAAAATTGAATCAATAAAATGGAGGAAATGAATAAAGTTGGTAAAATTTTAAGTAATTAAGAAATAGTGTAAAATTGGTAAGGAAATGAAGGTAAGAAGGAATAATTAAAAAAAAAAACTACGGTTGATGTTAATGACTTGATGAAAGTCTGTAATGGAATCTCATAACAATCAGTCTTTGAAAAGCATAGAGAATTACCTATTGAATTTAATTGGACACGAAGCGAGCTTTTCCTGGTTAATTAATTGCGACGAGAAAGTCATTGATTAGTAAAACTTTTGTGCATCGGAGATCCCGTACATTCGGTATCGCCTATATCCATCTGAAAGAGCTCTTCGATTTGAAGCGAGCCCAGAAACGGGCATTTTTGTGTGACTCCTGTTACCAGTACCGAAGCCCTGATCCTGAAGCGAGATGAGATATCTTCCCTCTCTTTCACTCACACCAAATCTCTCGTCTTCTGTCTCTATCTTTCGTTCAGTGTTGGTGTTATGCCCATGACAAAGGGGCTTTAATAAGTTGTAACGCGCAGCAGCCAGTTATCAAACAGACGATCTTAATGCCTTGCCCGCATTAATGAGGGACACGGCATTAAACGGGTTGCCTTTTTTGCCTTGCGGCCTCCACTGAAATGCAATTAAAAGAGGAACAAAAAGGAAATCATCGATGGAAAAACACATACGTACACACAGAGATGTGATGCGTCGTCCTTCTCCTCCTCATTCTTACACATATATTTTTTTTTGTTTATATCTTCCTTGATATAATTAGCCGAGGTTTATACTGGCGATCATAAAATAACGATCGCCGTGATCGTCGGAACCTAATTTAGTGTCCATTAAGTTGATTGATGTAACTGCTGCTAACTAATTCAATATCAATCCAGTTTAAATCGCTGAAATCTTCATTCAAGTTTTTAATCTAATCATTATTTTAATTTATTAAATTTATTTCATTAAAAATGTATGCATATTTAGTTTAATGATTGTTTCAGTTTTGAAAATTGATTATTGTTATAAATTTTTATTTTATTGAAAGGCTTCCTTTAGTTGTTCTACAAATTTTGTAAATGTTTATGAATGAATTTTCATTGATATAAAATTCATTCATTTTTACTACGAACATTGTAAATTTTGATGAATGACTTGAAATTATGTATACTTAGTTTAATGATTCTTTCAGTTCTGGAAATTCATTCATTTTTGTAAAGAATATTGAAATTTTTATGAATGATTTGTTTTATTGAAATACTTGGAATTATATATATTTAGTTTAATAATTTTTATAGTTTTTCTACAACATTTTTTGTAACTTTTATGATTGAAAGACTAAAAATTACGCATATTTCATTTAATTTCTACTTGTTATAAAAAAAATCTAATTATGTTTTCTCTTAAAGACCTAAATTTTTGAATACACATCTAATTTATTGTCTTTTTCATTTACTATTATTACTAAACTATCGTGTTTAGATTCATCCAATTTATCATGGATATAATCATCATTATCTTACAATTTAATCCCAATTTTCTACTAACGTTTATTCGCTTTATTTTTTTATTTTGTGAGTTACTTTCGTAATTTGACACTGCATGGATTTGCGTGTCGGAAACAATTGCAGACGAAAGCCTCATTGGGTTTCAGAATCGATTACGTAAACCGCAGGGGAGCAGTTGCGGTCCCAAGTGCTGCCAGCCAACCCTCCCCCTTTCTCTCCTCGCCACCCTACAACATATCAATCCATCCATCCCTCTTCCAACCACATCAATCCGCGACATCCGTTTCACTCGCTCCCGCACGAATGAGAGCAGATCGGGCGTTCCGTTCAAAACCACCGGGAGTAATAGTACTTCAAGATACGCAATTAATCAACATCAAAACCTACCACACCGTATTATTAATACCAGTTATACAATCAACATCATCAAGAAATTCATACTTTTTTAAGCATTGTTTATAATAATATAACAGTGTAATCTTTAATATATATCAATTAATTATATTTTCATGTAATTATTGAGTATAGAAACTTTTGTATACGAAAAAAATTAGATTAAAAAAACTTTAACTATTCTTTATATAAAATCACTAAATGAAAAATATTTCAAAAAATATAAAATAACAACATTTTATTAAATAAATTTATAAATAAACAATTTAGAAAAAGACGATAAAATAAATATTTTTTACAACTTTTAAAACATTATTATAACTTTTTATGAAAATAATTTGTTAACAAATAGTTGACAAAATATTTTGAACGATAGAAGATAAAATAGTTACGTGGAATGGACAAAATTGAGGATTTTAATGAAACTTTCAAATATAGTTTTAATTATTAACTTTTTTATGAATAAAATTTGCAACGAAACAAATCTTAAATTCGTTAACGTTATTAACAATCAAATTTGTAAGAAAAAAAAAAAATTAAAAGGATTGTGGTGTTAATGATAAACTTTTTTCATGAATCAAATTTGTAAAGAAACAAATGTTAAAGGTTTCTGGTATTAATTAATAAAAATTTTGGCAATGAAATTTGTAAAAAAAATAATTGTAAAAGGTTTGTAGTATTAATTATACTTTTTTTATGAATCAAATTTGTAAAGAAACAAATGTAAAAGGTTTCTGGTATAAATTATTAAAAATTTTGTCAATGAAATTTGTAAAAAAATTAATTGTAAAACGATTGTAGTATTAATGATAAACTTTTTTCATGAATCAAATTTGTAAAGAAACAAATATAAAAGGCTTCAGGTATTAATTATTAACGTTTTCCTCAATAAAATTTGTAAAGAAACAAATATAAAAGGATTTAGGAATTAATTATTAACGTTTTTCTCAATAAGATTTGTAAAAAAAAACAATTGTAAAAGGATTGTGGTATTAATGAGAAACTTTTTTAATGAATCAAATTTGTAAAGAAACAAATGTAAAAAGTTTCTGGTATTAATTATTAAAATTTTTTTCAATAAGATTTGTAAAAAAAACTATTGGAAATGGATTGTGGTATTAATGATGAAATTTTTTTATGAATCGAAATTGTAATGAAACAAATGCAAAAGGCTTCTGGTATTAAGTATTAACTTTTCTATCAATCAAATTTGTAAAAAAAAAATATTTGTAAAAGGATTGTGGTATTAATGACAAACTTTTTTTATGAATCAAATTTGTAAAGAAACAAATATAAAAGGCTTTAGGTATTAATTGGTAACGTGTTTTTCAATCAAATTTGTAAAAAAAAACTATTGTAAAAGGATTGTTGTATTAATGATGATTTTTTTAATGAATCAAATTTGTAAAGAAACAAATATAAAAGGCTTCAGGTATCAATTATTAACGTTTTTCTCAATAAGATTTGTAAAAAAAAACATTCGTAAAAGGATTGTTGTATTAATGATAAACTCTTTTTAATGAATCAATTTTGTAAAGAAACAAATGTAAAAGGCTTCTGGATTTAATTATTATCTTTTTTATCAATCAAATTTGTATAAAACAAACAAATGTAAACAGGTATTAATGATTTTTTTCATGAAACAAATTTGTAATGAAATAAATGCAAAAGGCTTCTGGTATTAATGATGAATTTTTTGTATGAATCAAAGTTGTAATGAAACAAATGCAAAAGGCTTCTGGTATTAATTATTAACGTTTTTGTCAATGAAATTTGTAAAAAAAAAAACAATTGTAAAAGGATTGTGGTATTAATGATAAACTTTTGTTTATGAATCAATTTTGTAAAGAAACAAATGTAAAAGCCTTTTATAAAAAAAACAAACAAATGTAAAAGGCTTCAGGTATTAATTATTAACATTTTTATGAATCAATTGAGTAAAGAAACAACTGTAGAATATCTAATAATAGCAGTTGATAAAGTAAACATGTTGAATGTGAACATTTTTGGAATGTGATTCATCGTTAACGACGTGAAACAAAACGGAAGAGCGATAAAGTGTCGTGTCGTATCGCATCGCCTATGCTGTTTTCTTGTTTTGCTTTTTGTGTTTTATTTTTTAAATTATTTTTATTTTTCTCTCTTTATCAGACAGACGTCGTGTGAACAACAAGCAAGGGCAAACGACGACAGCTTCCATCCAATTGCGTCCGCGACGGCAGCAACACAACGATTATTATTAATATTTTGCTTGCATGCACGGAAATGTGATATTGCGAGTAACCTTGTCTAACTAACTGTGCCTTTCAGACTGCTCCATTCGAATCACATGCACACATGCCTGTCACAGACAGAGCACATCCTAGAACGCATTCCTTACTCAACTGCACATTCCTGAAGGCTAATGACCAATCTATAGTCATACAATGACACAAACTATTATCATCATTCATTCATTTACAAAAAAAAAGTATTTATAATCTCTGAAAAATATAACAATATTACATAACAGTAATGTTATTTTCAACTCACATTATAATTTAGAAATTTCTGTTTACCTTTTTTGCAAAATAATATATAACTATAATATTAAGTGAATCAGATAATTACATATTAAAGTTGTCACAAGAAAGTAGTTTTTCTTTAAAATTTAATATAAAAAATGATGATACTATGTGTATGAAATAATTAAAAACGTAACATTTATTGTTTTTCATTTTTTTGTGTTGACGTGGCATGAAATATGATGCAGCAGGCGATGTTTCCTGTTACTTACCTGATTTCCAGTTCGGAGAAGTCAGTAGGAAGCGCGTAACGTGTTCGTTCTCTCGGCGATCGCTTCGCTTGGCTAGGTGTGGTTTAATTTGTAACATAATATGGCGCACCTATTCTCTCCCATTTGAATACATAGCCTTTGGCTGCAAAAAAAAAGAAAGAAGAAATAACAACTTGCATCAAATAATAAACTACGACTCAATTAGCTCATTCAATGTACGGCGCGCGCTTAGCTTTCTTTCTGTTTCCATTTAAATTTATAAATTTTCTTACCGTTACTTTCAAACATCAAAACTTTTTACGAAAATTATAGGAGAAATAATTATTGTAATACAGTGGAACCTCACTTAATAAGCACTTCGCATAACGAGCAAAATTAATTGTAAGAAAAATTACTCGCTTAACCAGCGACGTTTCGCATTACGTGTGAGGATGAGAAGAGAAGTCCCGAATTTCGCGCCTTTTACATCACTTTTAAAACTTATGTACACAAATTATATGTGTATTTTTTAATATATTGACCATCTTCGATTTTCTTTGTCATATTTGAAGTGGACTATACTTTGCAAATATAATTTGTGTTTGCTGTAATTGCAAAGCACAAATGTATTGTATTCAACCATTATTATAATATATAAACAAACTATGTACGGTTCTTTTATAGGTCTATATCGCAAGCCCGACAACCGTAAGACCGTCTATTGAAATCTCGACGTTCAAAATCCCGACAGTATCGAAATCTCGACGTTCGAAATATCGGCTGTATGAAAATCCCAAGGCTTGAATCCCGACTACCATAATCCCGACAATCAAAATCCCAATTATATCTATATCCCGACTATATCGAAATCCCGACTACCATAATCCCGGCTGGCTCAAAATCCCAACTATATCGAAATCCCGACTACCATAAAAATGTTGTTGTAGAAATTTATAATAATAAAAGACACTGTCGGGATTTCGATATAATCGAGATTATGGTAGTCGGGATTTTGACATAGTCGGGATCTAGATATAGTTGGGATTTCGTACGTCGGGATTTTGAGCCAGCCGGGATTTCGTACGTCAAGATTTCGAACGTCGGGATTTCGGTTGACGGCCTTGCGATTGCCACCGTTTTTTTCTATAAACAAATATTAAAAGTATAAAGAGACTTCCAACAAGTCCCCGAATTGATACAAGTAATATAAACAAATATAAACTCACTTCACCGTGTGTGAATTGGAATACAGTTTCTAGTGTTAGTGGTCATTCTTGTTGCATCTTAATGTTGTTTGTGATCACAGAATTTCCAAACTTGTGTTCAGACATGTTATTTGTGTTTTAGTTTGTGCAAAATTTAATAATACTTTCATGTCTTCGAATAAAAAGCCAAAGAATTAAAAGAACTATAGATATGAAAAGCAAAATCATTAAAAATGGAGACCAAGTTATACTTTTTTTCGGCAATATGGGAAAACCTGTTTCACTATTCGAGATAACATCCGCAAATTTTGAAACGGATTAAACTCGTTAAGCAAGGTTCCACTGTATATGATGATTTCTTTTTGGTGTAATTCTCTCATTAATACTTTTTTTACGAAAATCATCGCAGAAATCATGAAAATAATACTTGTAAAATGCAATGATGCTATTTTACAAAGTCATCATAGAAATAATTGGTTCTATATGCGATGATATCTATTTGTTACTAATTTTTTTCTGAAATGAACTATTTAACATTTAACTAGAAAATATCTTAATTGTGATATGAGATTATTTTAGTTCGTTGTAATTCTTTAAACATCTAACATTTTATGAAAATCATAATAAAAATTATGGTAACGATGATTATAAGCTGATGCTGATGATGAATATGTGTACGAAAATCATTAAAGAAAGTATGATTTATCAACAACTTCAACCATTCTTCAACAATCATAATTAAAATCTTCATTTGATAGTTACCATTTCTGCATGACTATTTTACGAACATCATCATATAAATCAAGGAAACCTTAACTGTATGACAATGATAATGATAATAATAAAATAATAATAATTTAATAATCTTTTAACATCAACTTTTAATGAAAATTATGATATTAATTTGTGATGAATTCTGTTTTTGCAGATTACCATTCTTTCAATATGACTATTTTATAATAATCATCATAGAAATCAATATAATATATCATGATTTTACTTTGTTTACCTTTGATGATTGTAACAAATGATGATTGCTATTTATATTTTGAAACATTATTACAAAATATGATATGTAAAGATTTGTATTTGCTTTTGATACTATTCAATCAAAATCACCTTATTAAAAAAATCTTTGTAGGAATTATGAAATCGTTCTCTGTAACAAAATAATTAAACCTTAGCAAAAAGTATAAAAACAGTAGAATATGTTAATACAATTAAATCTTGCCAACTGTCCTATGAATACGGAACATTCGATTTTTCTATAGTTCTAATTCTTCATTTTGCTTTTTGATAAATTACTGTTTAATTTAGTCCAAATTTAATGGCAAATTATTACATCAATGCATGTGTGTTTATATACAATTACAATTTAAATAATTTCCATATTTATAGTTCTATATTTATAATTTTATAAAAAAAATGCATACTTTTCTTAAAAATGTAATTGTAATAATCACTTTATTTCTACAAAATTCTATCATTTTTTAAGATTATTACATATGTTTACTTTTATTTACAGATGAAGAGTATTGTCGTTATATGTCGTTCGTGTGGTGATGAACGAGAAGCTAAGGATTAGAGAAAGAATCTGTCCCTCGACCACCCGAGCCTGTCTGACGTCCATTACGAATTCTTTATGACCTCCCCACCCCGAAAAACCCATCCGACTCGGAGCATCAGGCTATATTTTATATAATGGTCAATTCTCTTATTGCCCCCCTTCGTACCCACAATAAACCCATAAAACCAGACGCAACCAACCAATCACCATCTTTTACATCAACAAAACTAAATAATAATAAATACACAAAACCTATCATTTCACATACAAAAATTCCAACAAAAAAAAATATGTTGAAATACATTCATAAATCTCTTAATAAACAATTTAATACTTTTTTTTTAATATAGTTCCTATTATGTAATTAATTATGAATTAAATAAACATATTTTTTTTGGTTTCTACAAATTCATTCGGAGTCAACAATTCTATGAATTATTCGTTAAAATAACTGACGATTCTAAAATAAAAGATGATTTTTGTTTCTTCGACAACAAATCATGATTCATGAATGATTTTTTTGATAATATTTTAAACTTGAAATATGCAAAATTCTACAAAAAGTAATATAGAAATTTGATTTTAATTATTATAATGATAGAATTATGAAATACCTATTAAAATTAATTAATTGCTCCAAAAAAGCCGGAATAATTAATCGATTTACAAAATAAAACAAAAAAAACTATTAATTAATTAACATTGAATGCAAATGAAACAGAATTGTAATTGGAATGCCCGTGTGCTCCAACAGAGACTCGAATCCAGTTTGTAAATGTGTTTCAATAAATCTAATATATAATATAACCCGTTTAGCATTTGCAAATGATTACAATTACTTTGTGCGCTATAAATCTTTAGATCGACATGCAATAAATAATAATTAAGTTCTTTAATTAGATCGAAATGGAGCAACAATAAAAACATAAAGAAAATGGAACAATTGAAAACAACTTTCTGTTTTTTTATTTTGTTCGAACAATGTTTAATTGCAATAAATTCAGAGTGTTCTGAATGCGATTACAAAAAATAATACTGAAACGAGAGAATGATAAAGTCGCGCGATTTGAAAGTCGCCGCGCTGAGTATAATGGAAGTGGACTAATTGAATTTTCTTATTTCGTATTCATCGAGTTGCCTTTCTAATGATATTTATATGATATTAACGCTCGCATTTCGAATTATTCTACTTATAGTTGTAACAGTTTCAATTCTATTTTTTTTTAATTTCAAATAATATTTAAATATTTGTATTACGCAAGCCCGACAACCGAAAGACCGTCTATTGAAATCCCGACTACCATAAAAATGTTATTGTAGAAATTTATAATAATAAAAGACACTGTCGGGATTTCGATATAGTCCGGATTTCGATATAGTCGGGATTTCAAATTTCGATACAGTTGGGATTTCGATATAGTCGGGATTTCAATATAGTCGGGATTTTTATTGTGGGGATTATGGTAGACGGGATTTCGATATAATCGGGATTTCGAACGTCGGGATTTCCATAGACGGTCTTTCGGTTGTCGGGCTTGCGATTGCCACCGTTGTATAACACACATAAGTAATAAATAGAAAATAGTATTATTTTCATTTTTTTTTTAATTATTAAAATATGGTAAACTATAAGTAAATTCACTAAAAAAATTCATGAATTGAAAAAACTGAAAAATCTAGTTTATATTCCGCCATATTTGATTTTCAGTTCATTAATCTGTTTAGTATCTGAAAAAAGTCGTACTTAAGCTTCATTAATAGGTCTTTTTATTGTTTCGTAGCCATTGAAAAACCACTTCTGAAGTCATTTAACTCTGTACTATAATTCAAGTGGAAACTGCTGTTCATTCGATACGTAAAAATGTATATAAAATTATTGAAAATTTACAATTTTTTTGGCAATTTTTCCCACATTTATTAACAATATGTAATTAAGAACATATAATAAATTTACTAAAATATTGTAAAGTTTCAATTTTCAAATTTTGTAAAATTTAAACAATTTTTAGTTATACAAATTTAATAAAAAAAACTAATCTAAAAACTTAAAATTTTTAATTTTAACTGAAATTATTAACCAAGTTGCAATTTAATAATGAAGTTGTAACGTTTTGTTTTGTAATATTGTGATTAATAAAGTTTTTTTTTTTGATAATATTTTAAACTTGGAATATGCAAAATTCTACAGAAACGTACAAAAATTTATAAAATTACTCTAATTTGGCAAATCGATTTTAATTATTTTAACGATAGAATTATGAAATGCCTATCAAAATTAATTAATTGCTCCAAAAAAGCCGGAATAATTAATCGATTCACAAAATAAAACAAAAAAAACTATTAATTAATTAACATTGAATGCAAATGCGTAACGATGTAAACAGAATTGTA